CGCGCCGCGGAGCGCTTGCCCCCGCCCTCCAGAGCGAAGCCGGCGCATCGAGGCGCACGAGCGGGAAGTCATCCGGCCGGGAGCCCAGCGTGCCCGCCAACTCTGAGGGGGCCGCTTCATACAGACTTTCCGCCCCGCTGTTTTTTGTCATTTGGCGAGCAGCATGCAAAAATAAGTTTGCGCACCCCCGGGCGTTGCCACGGGACGAACATATTGGAAGTGTATTTGTTTCTGCCCTTTGCGAGGCCACGTGACGACTTGAGTAAATTGCTTCTGTCGAACCCCGCAAGCAAAACAACATGTTCGGCCCCCAAGCGTTGCCTCGTGAAGAATACATCGGTGCTCCGAAAATTCATTCCGATTTGAAAGGCACGGCGCCGCGCGAATGCAGCGCAAACGCTATGCTGGAAGGGCGCGGCAACGCATGCCCCCTGGACAAGCGAGAGCAGCCGCGCCCCCGCGCGAACCCCGACCCCGCGCGGGGCGCGCTTCCTTTGACAATGGCTCACCCGGGAGACCGTTTCTTGTGCAAAAAATCCTGAGCGGTCTGCCCATCGGCGGCTCCTTCGGACGAGGCCCGGAACCACCGAGAAACCGCTATTGATAAGAAGTTCTAGGTGGCTTGCCCATGTTCGGATTCTTCGGAGTGGGCCCGAAGACCTCGAGAACGATGCTTTTGCAAGGAGTCCTAAGCGGTTTGCGCATTTTCGGGTCGTTCGAACTGGACCCGACATGTTTTTGGCACAAATCCAATGGAATTTGGCCACTTTCAGGTCGGCTGGCAAACTTCTTAGGTCGTCGTATGACCGAACCCGAAAGTTTTTCTTCGAGGAAGTCCTATGCCGTTTGCTCATGTTCGGGTCAGTGCACCCGAACCCGATCCCGCGACCCCGGGCGGGGGTTTAAGCTCTGCCCTTGCATTGTACTGGGCACCTCCGGCCAAACGGGGTGCTGGGCTACCCATCGGCGCGCCGACTCTGCCCTCGCGACATCGCCCCCATCCGCCCTCGGGCCCCGCGAGTCTTATCCTGCGCGCGCCACCCCAAATAACCGCGGCGAGCACGGTGGCGAAATTGCAGAAACTTTCGGATCGGCGCAGTATGATGAAATAGTATTTGCTTCCGTCTCCCAGGCGTTGCCACGTGATGAAAAGATTCGAATACGTGTGCTTCCACCCCGCAGCGTTGCCATGTGGCGAGAAGGCCAGAATAAGATGTTCCCGTCCGTAGAGTAGGAGTATAATAATCACGTTGTTCGCCCCGCAAGCGCTACCACGGGACCAATAGAAAAGAAGAGTTGGGGACCTACTCGCCCGGGCCATATTCAAACCTGGGTCAGTCGGACCTTGCAGGATCCTGCAAAATCCTGCAGGATGGTCAACGCACCCCTGGCTGTGCAGGATCCTGCAGGACCCCGCGCTCTGGCTGACCCCCGCTTGCATCGACCCCCGCCCGTTGAGCCCCGAAAGCGTGCGCTCTCCACCGTGCCCGGGCGGGCGCGTGGACGAGCGGGCAGGCGGGCGCGGGCGGGCGGGCGGTCGGGCGGGCGGGCGCGGGCGTCCCTGGGGGCGGGCGCGTGGAAAACGTGCGATCGGGGGCGGGCGCCCGAGCGGCGGGCGCGCGCGCGGGCAAGGCAGGCGGGCGGGTGTGGTCGTCGTCGCCGTCGTCGTCGCCGCTGTCGCCGCCGTCGTCGGGGTGTCAAGGTGAGCTTGCCAGGACCTGGTTCTGGATTAGCGCAGTGGTAGGCTTAGGGGGTCAGGGTTGGGGTTAGGGTGGAAAGGTTGGGGAGGTTGGGCCAGGGTGAGGATTCTTGGGCTAGGGTGGCTAGGTCCTCCCGGGCGTTGTCACGCAACGAAAACAGCGGAACAACATGTGTTCGCTGCCTCCATGCGTTGCGCTGCGTTGCCACGTTGCGAATCGAATAGAGCACACTATGATACAATATAATAGGCTAGACTATAGTATAATATCATAGAATAGAATCGAATGCAATGTATAAAATAGAGCAGAATATACTATTATATAGTAAGGCAGAATAGATCATAATCTAATCGACTAGAATGCAAACGAATAGAGCATCATATACTACAATCGATTCGAATATATCATAACATGATAGAACCGAGCATGCACATAAAATAATATGTGTTACTATCTGGTGTACTACACTATACTATGCGACATACAATATGAGAGAACGTAATAGCATATACCACCATAGAGTACAGTATCGTATAATAGACTAGATTAGAGGATACCCGACTAGACTATGACACATTTGAATATAATATAATATAATATCATAGAACAGAACAGAATACAATATAACAACATAGGCGACGGTAAACTATAAATAGAACGTACAATACTATAACAGCATAGAACATGATATCAGTTTCACGGCTACTTTTTCCGCCGCGATGCTTTACCACTTGGCGAGTAGAGGAGAATTGCAGTTTGTTTCGCCCTGCTGCGTTGCCACGTGCCGAAGAGAACGGGGTCTCGCTTTCGCCCCTTCCCCCCCCCCCGGCCTTGCAACTTGACGAATCGAGTAGACTGGTATTGCTTCCGCCCTGCTGCGTTGCCACTTGGCGAGTTGGTCAGAGTTGTTTTTCCCGCCCCGCTGCATAGCCACGTGGGTGATATGACATAGCATTTGATCGTCCCTCAGGCGTTGCCACGTGACGAACGGAGTTCCACCCCGCTGCGTTGTCACGTCGACGTGGCGAATATGATAGAATAGTATGTTTCGCCCCCCAGGCGTTGCCGCGTGACGAGACGACTGGAACAGTACGTCCCTCACACACGCCCAAGCGTTGCCACTCAACGAACACAATGAAATCATAATTGCTTGCGCCCCGTTGAGCTGCTGTGCGAGGAAGAGGATGGCATGATTAAGCCAACCAACCAACCCACCAACCGCCCGACGAACCAATCAACCAGTCCGCCGGGTAACCAGGAAAACTGGCTAGCCAGGCAACCGCCCAACCAACCAACCAACTAATCACCAAAGAAAAAAGCTAGCTTGGCAATTGGCAAGCAAGACAATCAATCAACAACCCAATCGCAAAATCACCGGCCAACCAATCAAACATCCAACCAACCAACCGAACGACCAACCAACCGACCGACAACCGTCCGTCCAATCAACGAACCGCCAAACTACCTGACCAACCAAGTGACCAAGCAACCATGCAACCAACATACCAACCAACGAATCAACCGATCAATCAACCGACCAACTAACAAACCCACCAACCGACCAACCAACCGACCACCCAACCGACCAACCAACTAACCAACCCATCAATCTATTAAACAATGTTGGCACACACGCAACTCAAACGGATGGCGCCTAGGGGGCTGGAACAACAATGTATTGAACCCTCAGAAAGTGTCTTATTGAATTCGAATTAGAGTACTTTGGATTCGGGTCTTAGGGCTATGGTCGTAGGGCTAGGGCTTTGAGGTTAGAATTCTGAGGGATCGTGCCTTAGGGTCAGGGCAGTCAGGTTAAGAGCCTTTAGGGTTAGGGTCTTCGGATTAGGGTCTTAGGGTCAGGGTCCGAAGATTAGGATATCAGGGTTAAAGCCTTCGGGGGTTACGATCTCAGAGCGGTGGTCTTCAGGGTTCGGGTCTTAAGGCTCGGGTCTGGGGATTATGGCCTTAGGGTAGGGTCTTAGGGTTAGGGTCTTAGGGTTAGCATCTTAGCGTTAGGGTCTTGGGGTTAGGGTCTTAGGGTTATGGTTTAGACTCTACAGGTTATGGTATCAGGGCTAAGATCTTAGACTTAGGATCTTACGGTTAAGATCTTAAGACAACCAACGAACGACCGCCAACGAATCGACAACCAAAAACGCAACAAACCAACCTTCCGACCAGCCGACCAACCAACCAACCAACCTTCCAACCGACAAACCGTCCACACAACCGACCAACAAACCAGGCAACCAACCAACTAACCCACCAACCGACCAATCGACCAACCGACTAATCAATCAACCAACCGACCAACCACCGACCAACCAACCGACCAATCGACCAACCAACTAACCACCCGACCAACCAACCGAACATCCAACCAACCAACCGACCGACCAACCAACGAACCAACCAACAGACCAATCGACAAACCAACCAATTTCGGCACACCCCTCACGCCCAGGCCTTGCGACGGTGTGGATTGGCGACTTTTGGCGCACCCCTCACACGGATCGTGCTTTGGGGGCCAGAACACAAATTGTAGACCCCTCAGAAAACTCTTGAGTACCATGGAAAGAGATACTGAACCTTCAGAGAATTGTTTTTGATCCTTGTCGCCTGTTCCTCCTCCTCCGCCCCTTCTCCTTGTCCCACTCCTCCTCGTCCTGCTTGTCTCCTCCCGTGCTCATGTTCCCTCTATTAGCGCTTGCAGGGGCCAACCGCTGTCCCCTTCTCTCTCTCCCTCTCTCGCTCATATATATATGTATATATATATATATATATGTGTATAGATGTATTTGTATGTATATGTATTTGTATGCGCATACATCTAAAGATATACACGAGCAAGACTGTGCTGGCGCTTCACACCGTGCACCTTGGTCCTCAAATCTCGGCCCGCGGGCGGAATGAGAGAGAAGTAGATAAACGGATACAAGTATGACTCCTTGTTGCCGTTATCGCCGTCGTACCCGTACGTGTGTATATAGAGAGAGAAAGAGGATTCGGCGAATGTGGCGTCAGCCTCTTGCAACTCATGACCTAGGTGCCTTCAGATAGCAGTATCGGGAGAAGCCACGGCGACAAGTTGTAAACGCGCCACGGCAAAGAGTGAAGCAGTGTCAATCAAACCGAAGTGGGTCGTTCGCGGCGGCAGGCAACGATTCCATAGCGTTCCCTCTGCGGGATGCTGCAAACTCATGAGGCCGCCGATCATGCAAATCGGGTGCTGGCCACTTCGGGGCGAATGCACGCCGATGCCCTGGCCTTCTCGCTCACTCCGAGGGCGCGCCGGGTCTCTCAGTAAGTGGGGTCGTCGGCCTGCATGCCGGTGTTGTCCGTGCTCCTCGGCGGCCCCGCGCAACCTCCTCCTGCTCCTCCTCCGCCATCCCTCCCTCTTCTCCTCCATCCCTCGCTCCTCGCTCCCTCCCGCCTCGTCATCCTTTTCTTTCCTCCCCCCCTCCCCTCCCTGAGCCCTCCCTCCCCCACGTATTCCTCCTCCTGGCGGCGACGTGCGACGGCCACGCTGCCCTGCATGGCCCTGCGCTCCAGCTGCGGCCCTCCTGTCCGTCGCTCAGTCGGCTGCCGCCTATGCGGTCCCGTCCGCGTCGGCCGCCCCTGGGGGGGCGCAACATTACCGATGCCGCCACTCCCCCCGGGAGCGCGTTTCTTTATTCGCGGCGACAACGGGCGTTATGGGGGGAGCGGGGGGGGGGGGGCATAACGTAACGCGCCCCCCCCCGCCGTGCGCTTCCGGCGCCACCAAGGCGTCCGCGCGCACGACGACGACGACAACGACGACGACGACGACGACGACGACGACGACGACGACGACGACGACGACGACGAGCGACGACGACGACGACAACGAGCGACGACGACGACGACGACGCATTGACGACGACGCATTAACGACGACGCAACGACGAGCGACCACGACGACGACGACGACGACGACGATCGACGACGACGACGGCGAAGACGTCGACGACGACGACGACGAGCGACCGCGAGCGACAACGAAGACGACGATGACGAGCGACGACGACGAAGACGGCAACGACGACGAGCGATGCCTCTGGAGGGCTCCGGAAGTTTCCCGAGGCCTCCAGAGTCTCCTGAGGCCTCAGGAAGCCTCCAGAGGCCTTCCAGAGGTCATCCGAAGGCCTCCAGAGGCCCTCGAAAGCATTCGAAGGCGTTTGACAACGACGGGCGACCGCGAGCGATGACGACCGACGACAACGACGACGACGAAGATGACGATGACGACGACGACGACGACGACGACGACGACGACGACGACGACGACGAGCGACGACGACGACGACGACGACCGACAACGAAGAGCGACGACGACGACGACGACACCGACGGCAACAACGACAACGACGACGACGACGACGACGACGACCGACAACGAAGAACGACGAGGAGTTGTGGCGAGCACATGCCTGCGAAGGCGTCGTTGCCTCCACGTGGCGTATAAGAGGCATGCTCCTTACCTCCATCCTCCATCGTCGTCGTCGTCGTCGTCGTCGTCGTCGTCGTCGTCGTCGTCGTCGTCGTCGTCGTCGTCGTCGTCGTCGTCGTCGTCGTCGTCGTCGTCGTCGTCGTCGTCGTCGTCGTCGTCGTCGTCGTCGTCGTCGTCGTCGTCGTCGTCGTCGTCGTCGTCGTCGTCGTCGTCGTCGTCGTCGTCGTCGTCGTCGTCGTCGTCGTCGTCGTCGTCGTCGTCGTCGTCGTCGTCGTCGTCGTCGTCGTCGTCGTCGTCGTCGTCGTCGTCGTCGTCGTCGTCGTCGTCGTCGTCGTCGTCGTCGTCGTCGTCGTCGTCGTCGTCCTTTTCCTCCTATTGCTCTCTCTCCAGGTGCCTGAGATCACTGCAACTTGCCCGGGGACACCGCCCCGATGCGGATCCCCGCGCGGATCCCTGTGCGGATGCCTATGCAGATCCCTATGCGGATCTCTACACGTCGGTCGGAAGAAGTAGGTAAAAACATGAAGTAGGAAGGCGGATAAAGTGGATTGGGTCCAGGCCCCCCCAGGGAATCACAAAACACAGCAAAAGCAAGCCGATGCTTGAAGTAGGAAGGCGCTTGAAATATATTGGGATCTGGGAATCCAAAAATACCTACTTTCAACGACCGGCGTGTATGAGAGTCCCTGGAAATCCCAATGTGGATCCATATGCGGACCCCGATGGATATCTCTATGCGATCCCCATGCGGATCCCTGTGCGGAGTTCTGTGCGGATGCCTATGCGGATCCCTATTCGGCTTCCTGTGCGGATTCCTGCGCACGACGTCAGTGCTGGTGGGGGTCGCACTAGGGGCCGGAGCGTTACGTGATGGGCGGGGGGGATCCGGGGGGCAGAACACGCGTTATGGCTCAGGCAATACAGAAGCACGCTCCGGGCGTCGCACGGGCTGCGTTCTGACCAGGACTTTGACGCGAGCGCAGGCGTTGGCCGCGAGGCCGCCTCTGCCACTCACCCGCCCGGGAGGCCGCCATGAGGGCGTAAGCGAGGAGTGGGCATCGGCATCGATATCCATTTTATCCCGTCCTCCCCCCCCCTCCCCCCTCCTCTTCCAACCTCCTCCTCTAGCCCCCTCTTCCAGCCCCCTCTTCCAGCCCCTTTCCGCCGACCCGTGCTCCCCCCCCTCTTCCAGCCCCCTGTCGTCCCCGTGCCTCCCTCTTCGGCGGGCGGAGGGCAGGTGTGAGACGCGCAGGGTTTCCGCCTCGGGGGGTCGCCTGGCCTGGCGTGGCGGGCTGGAAGGCCCGTGCCCATCCCGATGTGGCGGCGCTTGGGGCCATATGCAGTTGCAGAACACCTTGGGGCCCTGGAGCGCAGAGGCAACCGCGGCGGCCACCGTTGTGCTCCTGCTGGCAGCGCCACCCCACGGTTCTGTCCGTTCCCATGCTAACTGAACTCTCCATCCTCTGTATACTCCTCGTCGCGCCACCAAACGTCTCGACAGAGCGGGCCAGGCGATTCACAAGAGCTGCAAGGATGGATAGCGAGTGGCTTTCAAAGTGTGGCTCTCGCCTTGGCGACGCTCGCACTCGACTTGAAAGCCTCCAACAGTGATTCGGAGAGAGGCTGGTTTTCAGAAGGTAACTATCACATTGGCGCCGCGCGCATTCGTCTTGAAGCTTCGAGGCCAAGAGGAAGAACCACTCACAATCTATATAAGTATCACATCTGCGCCGCCCACATTCCCTTTCATACCTTCCAGCAACCATCAGGGTGGAGGGCAGCCCGGTTTCAACGTGCAGCTCTCGACTGAACGCCGCGCGCATTGGTCTTGAAAGCCCACACAAGTACCAGGATAGAGGACGATTCCGTTTCAACATTGGGGCTCTCGCCTGAGGCGTCCGTGCTTGTGAAACCAAAAATGGATTCGACACTTGGAATCATGCAGCCACGTGGGTGGGGGCAGGTCCCTCTCCTCAAAGCAGGGCTCTCGCCCGAGACCTCCTCAAGATGATCGGCCACACGTTCTGGACGGCGCGGACAGCTGCGCGAATGGAGGGCGGCTCCTGGTGCAAACAGAGGACTCTCGCCAGACACCTCCCTTTGGGGTCTTGTCATTACCCTTAAGACCTCAGATTTGTAAACATCGTGATTAATGTCCTTGTTTTTTTTTGTTCGAATCGATTCGTTGTTTTTGTTCGCAAACTTTGCGCTTCTCGCCATAGCGAGCCCGATGCCTGGGAAGCCCAGGGAGGTCCCCCCTGGGCTTCACGGCCCTGCCCCTCCGCACCCCTTGACCTAGCATGAGGTCGGGCACGTCCTCCCAGATTGGACGCCCGAGATATCCGGGGTAACTCGGGTCCGGGGTAACTCGGGTTTGGGTTCCCGAAAAAACGAACCCGAGTTAGCCCTGACCCGAGTTACCCCTGATGATTCGGGGCTCTGGGCGCCCGAGATATCCGGGGTAACTCGGGTCCGGGGTAACTCGGGTTCGGAATCCTGAAAAACGAACCCGAGTTATCCCTGACCCGAGTTACCCCTGATGATTCGGGGCTCTGACCAGAGGCGGATTTGGGAAGAGACGTGCAGACGGCCCCAAAAAAACGACTCAAAAAGAGCCACGGCAAACGGTCGAGAAGTCGTCCCCGGGCGACTTTTGGCCTGCTCTTTGAGGCCTCCTCCTGCAGAGGGACGCGCCCGACCCTCTATCCATGGAAGCCGGCAGCCCAGAAATGTTCCCCCAGCGGGCCCTCCCCCGAACGGCAGGCCCGCTGGGGGGCGCTCCCGGAAGGGCGCGGCAGTGCCCCCCCCCCCCCACGAGGCGCCCCTCCCTGCACGCTCGACCAGTAAGGCTAGACGAGGATACTGGTATCGTGAGGCACCGACGCGTCAGGGTACGATTGAGTACTCCAGATTTCGTAATAAAGGGAGGGGGGTCTCATTTCGGGGGGGTCTATTCCAGGCTATCTTGGAGGGCCTGGGGGGTCTGGGGACGATGTTTTGGAGGGTTCTCCCACGGGGGAGGTCTGAAATGGCTTGTCTTGGAGGGTCCAGACCCCCTCCCTTTTATTACGAAATCTGGAGTAATAGCAGCGGTGGCCATGGCTGCCAGGGGAGAAGGGAAGGAGGAGGGAAGGCCAGTGGAAACGAACGACGCACCGGCGATGTGACCAACAGGATGAACCCGGCACGACCCAAAAAAATGGGAGAAAGCTTCCTGTTGCATGGGCGCAGGGCTTGGCATTGCTTGGCATTGCTTCGCATTGTTTCGCATTGCTTGGCGTTGCTTCGCATTGCTTGGCATGAGGCACCGGGGGCGGGAACCCGGGGCTGGGCATATTCCTTGGCAGTGTTTGGCATTGTTTGGCATTGCTTGGCATTCCTTCGCATTGCTTGGCATTCCTTCGCATTGCTGGGCATGAGGCACTGGGGGGGGGGGGAACTCGGGCCTTGGCATTGCTTGGCATTGCTTGGGGTTGCTTTGCACCAGGGGCGGGGAACCCGGGGAACTCCCGGGGAACGGGCAAAGTAACAATAGCAGGCACGGGGGGCGGGGAACCTGGGGAACCCGAGGAACCCGGGGAACCTCCGAGCAACGGGCAACGTAAGAATACGAGGCACCAACCTTTAACCAAGTTTGAACTCCTTAGGCAAGCCAATTTGCAGAAAAAAAGAACAACAACTTATCTCCAAAGTCCCTCTTCATGGGCCCCGATGTTCATTGCAGGAAGAAGCCCCCTGAAAGACAGCCGTCCGAACAATTCAAACATCAAGGATTGCACTCCCCATACTGAAAATGGAGACAGACCTCGTCAGGAGAAGAAGAATAAGAAGAAGAAGAAGAAGTGAACCAATCTATACTTATACATTGTAAGTTGTTGTCGGGTTCGGGCGCCCCTTACTGTCCAAAATTATGAGAAAGTTCGGAATCGTGACAACAAATCTACCCCTGGGACTTCAATACCGCGAATCAATGTGGCCGCTGCGCCCTGACAACCCTGAATCGTGCCAGGACGCTATTCCGAGCCATTCCTGAGACTTCAACACCTCGAATGCACGTGATTGATGCGTCCAGACAACCCTCAACCATGCCCGAACACCTTTTCTGGGACTTCAGCCCTACGAACCCATGGAACTAGTGCACAATTTGAAAGCAAACGTGCGCGGCGCAAAAGCGAAAACCACAATGTGAAAAGAAAGGGGCCCCAATTTTTAAAACGGCTGCACACTTTTAAAACGAATGTGAGCGGCGCGCAAGCGAAACCTCAAAATGAAAAACGGCCCGACCTCAATCCTGGAAGCTGCTGCAAACTAATAGGACGAAGATGTGAAGCGCTAGAGCGAAATCTATACTTTGAAGACGGCCCGCCCTAAATCCTTTGAAGTGGCTGCTAGCTTTTGAAACGAGTGTGCGCGGCGCCACGGTGAGATCTCCATTCTCAAGACAGTCCGCCCTCCATCCTTGAAGCCGCGGCTAACTTTTCAGGCGACTGTGCGCGGCGCGGAGGCAGGAGCTGCATTCTGAAAACGGCCCGCCCCGCATCCCCCAAACGCTGGCAGAATGCAGACTTTCAAGACCACGCATGGTGAGGACGACTCGAGCGGCACGCCCAGCCTGGCCTACGTAAGCGGCTGGTGGGCACGACAGGAAGGAGTTGCTTAACTAGGTTAGCCAGCGCGAGGCTCGAACAGTGTGTGCTTCTAGCAACCTACCTTGTGCAACACACGTGGAGCGACCTGCGTGGTGCCATCGACGTGGTACGATAAATGTGGTGCGATCGAGGTGGCGCAATCTATATTGTGACGGCCACGACGACTGACAACGCCACGAATACGACACGCACACATACATACACACACACGCAAGGCGACGACGACGACAATGACGACCGCGATGACGACGACGACTGCGAATAGTCACAACGACGGTGGCCCCTCCTTCTCTCCTCTCCTTCTCTCATCTTCCTCCAAGCCGTTATGCGTGTTTCATGCGAGTGAGGCTTCCTCGGGACTCATCGCCCGTCCTCAGTGCCTGAGATTTGCTTCGCTGTCTAACGACACACACGGATAAGTAGCAATACTGATTCACCATTGCAACGATACATGAGGATAGTTAAAGATGATCAACACAGTAAGACTCGGGATCGCGCCAGGTAGAAAGAGGATGAATGATGAAGTATAGCACAAGGACAGCACATCTACCATGATGATGAATATTGACATAGATAGAGGGGGCTTGCAGGGGGGTCGATACCCCGCGCGCCCTTGACTTCCTGAGTGAGCAAGACCTGCTGTAGAGACTTATGAGCAGGGGACTAGGGACGGGAAGGCGAATTGCAGTATCGCTGAGATCACTTTGTCCAAATCCTTCTCATCATGCTGCTCCCCCTCCCTGCCTCCTCTGCCATCTCGCTTGGGCCACCTGCTGAATACTTGGGTGGCGAGAAGAGTTCCCAGCGACGACCCCACGTTGGCTTTCCGACCGTCCACCACCATGCTGTGGCCGCGTGTGCATGTCTGCTGTGCTGAGTAACGACGCAGTGCTGAATATACAAAGCCCATGTAAGAATATTTGACTCCCGCGTGCTGACTGCCCAGTGGCGGCTCGCACCTAGTCAAACACATCAGCTGTGCTATCCACGCCAACGTTGGATAGCGGCTAAGGCTCCCCCTATCAAGCCCTTGGAAATGCGAGACAACTCGCGCCTCATACATATAGATTCGGCCTCAGCCCCGGCAGCCCTCTGTGCAGCAATGCGGCAAGGGAGCTAAGATCTGCCACAACCAGGTCAAAATGATTAGGTGCCGTCGCAGCCGCACGGATGCGGTCCCACCAGATCAGCAGACTGTGGCGATCCCGCCGCTGAGGTGTGCCCTTGCAGACAAAGTGGTACGCAGAGGGGGAGGGACCAGACGACACAGCGGCCTGTTCTGAACCCCTGGAACCCCTTAAAAGCGCATCCGCTGGAAAATATTACCTGGTTCCGCAAGCTTTCGCCGAGCTGCTGCCGGCGAACCCACCCTCGTAATGCTCTCGCCATGTCCCACCGAAAGTGAGACGCCAACCTCTCTGGTGGGATAACCATGTACATGGTAGCGATATCGCTGCTCCCCTGACCTCTCCCAGGCAGCGTTCTGACCAGAATCTCGAAGAGAATCCAACCGTGGTGACGAGGACCCTACAGGACGAGCAGCGGGCATCTCCTACCCCTCTGACTCTCGATCCCGCGATGCCCTCCCTGGGACGCCATGCACAGATGAGGAGAGGGCGAGGACGACGCTGAACGGCATACAGTCATCGTGCTACCATAGGGGAAGCCGAAGAAGGAACGAGGAGGCTGTTCTGGCCACGGCGAACCTCCGCCACAAAGAAGACCTCCGGCCCAGCTCTGAGGAGCGGCCCCGAAGACCAGAGCCCCTCCCGAGCCCAGAGTGGTCCTTGCTCCCGCGCCTTGGCTGCAGAGGCGCGCCGTTTCGCGGGGCGAGAAGTGTAGGAACGAGGGGGGTGGCAACGCGGACGAAGGACTCGGATCTAGAACTGTGGACCGCGCTGGAGCGAGGGCGCCCTTCGCACGACGGGAGAGCGGAGCGTCGATCTCCCAAAACGTGGCCGACGCTGCAGCGGGAGCGCCAACGCCGAGTGGCAGAATTTGGCTGCCTCCGCTTGCGGGGGGCCTCCGCCCGGTCACGGGGCAGCGACGCTCGGCTGCCCTTCCCTCGCGCCCCTTCTCTGGCGGTTCTCCTCCTCCTTCCCCTCCTCTTCCCCCTCCGCCTCCTCCTCCTCAGCCTCCTCCTCCTCCTCCTCCTCTGCCTCCTCCTGCTTTTCCTCCTCCTCCTCCTCCTCTTCCTCCGCCTCCTCCTCCTGCTCCTCCTCCTCCTCCTCCTCCTCCTCCGCCTCCTCCTCCTCCTCCTCCTCCTCCTCCATCTCCTCCTCCTCCTCCTCCTCCTCCTCCTCCTCCTCCTCCTCCTCCCCCTCCTCCTCCGCCTCCGCCCGCTGCCGCGCAGTGCACGCAGGCCCTGGGCCTCCAACCAGGGCCTCCGGAGCAGAGGCCCGACGTCGGCGGCGCCCGCAGCTACCACGGCGGGAGGGGGGCACGGGGGCGTGGAGCCCCTCAGGGCGCAGCATCCCCACCGAGGTGCAAGCCAGCTGGAGCATCGAAGCACAGCCATGGTCAATGTTCAATGCTCCATGTTCCCCCCCCTCCCCCCCCCACACACACACACACACACACACACACACACACACACACACACACACACACACATAGACATGGTGCAACAAAAACAACGCAGCATGGACGTTTCCCGCGCTGCCCGATTAGCCGATGCGACACGCATGGCACCCGTGGGGCCTGTCCGACAACCTAGCGGGGGACAACACAGGAAGGGACTCCCTGAAAACATGCATGATCAGCAGACCACGGCCGCCGCAATCATCGAAGCCGAGCAGCCCTGTATACCAGCAGGCTAAAAGGGAACCGCGACAGCGCAGACGAGCTCTGAAAAATTCGCCCACAGCCTGAAATAGAAGAAGAAAGAACGGCATAAACATTAACTTTTGGAGGTCCGCGCGGATTTCCCGGATCTGGGCCAGAACCCCCTCCCTGGCGCGCGGAGCGCGCCAGGGGCCGCAACGGAGGCCCCGCACCCGGCGCGGAACCAAGAAATCCGCGCGGAGCGCCAAAAGGTTATGTTTTATGGAGTTTGCTCTTCCTCGATGGAAAACCGCTCGCAGCCCGGGGCGCCTGAGGGCTGGCCGACTCCGCATCGTCACTTCTTGGCGACGAACTCCTCCCTGAGAGCCTGCAGCGTCGCTGCTACGCCCTCGAACCGAAAGGCACGGTCGCGGCGGATAAGGCGCTGCTCATCCAGCCGCAGCATCTCCTCCGATTCGTCGAGCTCACGATCCTCTCTCGCCAGCTTGAGGCGTTCGGAGCGGACCTTCCTCTGCTCCTGCACCAGCTTCGCCTCCTCGGCCATCAGGCGCTCCTGCGCCGCGACCATCTTTATCCTGGCCTCCTCGAGCCGCTTCTCTTCCACGCTGAACACCTCCTCCTGGGCGCGGACCCGATCTTGCAGGCGCCTCTCCTTCTCCTCAACCGTCTTATCCAGTTCGAGGTCGTCCCTGCCGACGACCTGAGCAGCCTCCTTCTTCAGAAGCTCGCTCTCCTTCTCGAGCTTCACGCCCTCGGCAACCTGGCTCTCCGCCCGCTGGATCTCGTCGTCCTCGTCCTTGACCAGCCTCTCGGTGCAGGACGCCGCCGACTCGCAGGAGATCGCCGACGATGGCCTCGTGCCGCTCGCGGAAGATGCCAGAAAAAGAAAACAACGGCATAAGCACAAACTTCGGGCGCTCCGCGCGGGCTTTTCCTCTTGGATCTGCGCCGGACCCCCCTGGCCTGGCGCGCGGAGCGCGCCGGGCCACGGGGGGCCCCGGCGCAGATCCGAGAAAAACCCGCTCGGAGTGCCAAAAAGTTGGTGCTCGTGGCGCTCTTGCTCTTCTTCGAGATGCCAGCGCGGCCGTGCCGAGCAGCACGCGGCGGGCGACCCCGCCGGGCGGCGAGGCGCGGCCGCCGGGCAGCAGCGCGCCCCGGCCAGGCACGCGCGCGGCGCCGGTGGCCGCCAGGGCTGCCGCCGCGCCGCTCAGCGCCGCCCACAGCCGCGGGAGCCTGTGGCGCCCACGGCGTCTCGAGGAGGCGCCGTACCTTGGCGGCGCGCACCAGGGGGTGGAGGGAGGGGGGGGGGGCTGCTTAGAAGGAGGCTGCTTCTTAGAAGGCGCCGGCCTTGCATCTCTAGATGAGGCCCGAGCCTTCTAAGGAGCAGGGGTGCCTCCAAGAAGCCCTCCCCCTCCTCCCACCCCCCTCTGCGCGTGGCTGAGTACCTTTCGGAGTCCCGAAACGGTGCGGTGACAGACCGTGCGGTGACCTCGAAATGCCCCAAGACCTCACCGCACGGGCCGTCAACGCACGGTTATTGGGACCTCGGAGGCCCCTGTGGCCCGAGACGTCCTCGAAAAGGGACTCGAGTCCCAAAACCGCGCGGTGACCCCGAGCCCCACCGACTCACCACACGGTGTGGTCACCACCCCGCTTGGGAGCCACCGAGCGCCGGGAAGCTGCGGTGCCCGGAGCCGGCGCCATGGCTGCGGCGGAGCCGCCCGCAGCACCTTGCACGGAGCAGGATGGCCTGAGCACAAAGCGATTCGGCATGCTGTGCTGTGCCCTTACGCCGCTGGTCGAGTCTGCCGCTCAACGAGGTGCGGTCATCTTCGCGCCCTCGCGCCGCCGCCTCGCAGAAGGGCAGGAAAAGGAGGAGAAGGACGAGGAGGGATGAGGAGGAGGAGGAGGAGAAGCAGGAGGAGGAGGAGGAGGAGGGACGTGGAGGAAGGAGGAGAGCGCGCGCGGAGGGCGCGCGTCGCCGAGGCAGGTCTGCTGCAGACCAGGGGTCGGCTTTTCTGCTCTAAGCAGCCCACGGCTGCTGCCTCCCTGCGGCTCCTCCTCCTCCTCCTCCTCCTCCTCTTCCTGCTCGTGGTTCGTTGCCCCAGTCTTGCGCGGCTCTCGCGGCCCTCGGCTGCGGGTAGCCTTCACGAATGGATTCGGTGGCTCGTGGGTCTTCGTGGTCTTCGTGATCTTCGCGCGTGTGTGGGGGGGGGGGGCATCCTCTGGAAAAGTGGGCTCGGTAACTCTTGGCGCTCGTGGCCCCCTGGTCCCTTGCGGCCCTCGGGTGCGAAATTGTCAAGATTGGATTCATTTGTTCGTGGCCCCTCGAGAGTGAGCTCGGTGGCTCGTTTCCCTGATGGCCCCGTGATCCTCGTTGCTCTCGTGTGAGGAGTGCCCTTTGAGACTAAGAATCGGATCCTCACGGCCCTTCGCCTGGCATGTACGGCGAAGTCCGCCAGATGTTACAATTCCACGGCCACATGCCGCTGTCACGGTCGTGTCCTGAGAAACTGTGGGCCCGAGGGGGAATAAGGAGGGAATCAAGGGAAACGACACAGAGTGTGTTAACAGACAGTGGTGTCTGCGCGAACTAGACAACAAAGGCTCGCACATCTGCGGCCAATGGACAAGCGCGCAGCTAAAAACTAGTCCAAACCCAAGTAGTGTCCTGGATTATTGGAAATTGCCTGGAGGGTCAGCAAGAAGGGGATAAAAAAAACATATGAAGAGAGGAGGGCAAAAAGGCAGAGGGGAATGGCACAAAAGGCGCACACGGCAATACCTCACCTTTAACGCTGGGAACAAGGCGACGATACTGGGTGCAATCGAGGAACTATCCGATTTTCGGATAAGGGACATCGAGGCGTCGAGGTGTTCAATAACACCGACGGCCTGGGCAAGTCGGCAGATGGCAAGCTCGAGGCATCGAATGGCCACAAATCGCGGTCGGCCGACTGCGGTCTGCTATTGCTTCGACACCTGCGTGTGTTACGATGAGTGCTGCTACCACTACAACTTGTACCTATTCAAAGACTGATCCCCAAATACACTGTAGAATTCCATTCATACTGGAGATGCCACCCCAATTCCAATTCCCGTGACCATCACCACACCAATTCCAGCCCGTCAGACCCTCTTCCACTTCAAGTACATATCCCGAACAACATTCGCATCAACGCTGCAAAGTGCATTCAGGCAGATACATGTTCATGTTCAGACTCAGGTTCAGACCTCTACTCCTAAACATGTTTGTATTGATGGTCGAGCTCCTATTCGCCAAAGTGCTGAACGTTCCTCATCCTTCTGCTCATCCTCACGATCGCTCGCGCATCCTGTCTTGGATGAGGGTCTCAATCGAGTTCTCCATGAAGCACAGGCGCTATGGACAATGATCGCTTTGCTGGGAAAGCTCGGAGGGATATGGAGTGTCAGATTAGGTCGAGCGTGTCCTCCTACAGGGAGATTTTGAACGACAAATAAAGCATAGACAAAACATGTTCCAAAATACTCAAAACATACTCGAAGCATCGCCCCCATACTATGTTTGACTATGTTTGCACATTCCTCCTGTAGAGGGGCAGACCCGACTTAAAATGTAAGAGCAAAAGAGACAGAGGATCAAAGAGTGTAAGGTCGAGAGACAAACAAAACAAAGGGAGAGGGAAGGACGGATAGAGGGAGACGGAGAGAGGGAGCCAGAGGGATAGCGAGACAGAGAGACAGAAAGAGAGAGGGATACACACTCGATGATCCTAAGAACGTGTGTTAGCCCCAACGTGTGTTTGTCCATGGAGGCCCTTCAACACGACCCAGGCGACGTAATGATCTACGGATTGGGCTTAAGGGGGTAAATACACATTGGGCTAACATACGTCCTGAGGATCATCGATACGCATGTGTATATCGATATATCGAACACTTCGGCCCCCGTTTCGATGCATGGGGCGCCTTCGGTGGGGGAACAGCACTAGAACAAGCTTCAAGGGATCTACGGCAGTAGCTGGCAGCGTCGCACCACCCAGCGCGCGCCACCATGCTTCGATCCGCCCAACTTCGTGGATATAATCCACGGGTCCACACTAGTATATCTATAGATGTGTATATACATATAAAGAAAGAGAAAGGGGGAGAGAGAAAGAGAGAGAGAGAGAGAGAACACACAAAAAACGACATCAACATAGAACGACGAACGGACGGATTGGCAGGTGAGCAAGCGAGTTGGTGGGCCCCGGGTCGGGCTCCCTCTACCGCAGAGGGACGTCGCACCGGCTGTGCGAGTCTGGCGGTATCATATCAAGCCTGTTTGCAGCCGCAGGCCATCATCAGCAAGCGGCAACTACCGAACATCGGTGGTCGAACTGCCAGCAACCAGCGCAAGCGAACCCAGCATGAAAAGCCCCCGACCCCGCATGCCAGAGATGAGAAGGCGTTTGAGATGACTGACTGCTCCCCCTCCCCCCTGTCCCATTCCCCTGGCGTCCAGAATCTAATTAGAGGGGGGGGTAGGGGGTGGAGCCCTCGTGCTCGCCAACGCACATCCAGGATTATGTTGCTCCCATCGTGCTGAAAAACCACATCCCAGAAATAACCTCGGGCACCCGGAAAAGTGTCGAAAGAGGATCGAAACGGTGTCGAAACAGTGTCGGGCGAGTGTCTCCCAGGGCCCGACACGTGAAATCCCTCGGGTTTCGGTATTTGTTTGGTGCTCGAAGTTCTTTCTGGTGGTCAAGGCTCAAGGAGGTTGGGACATCATAAATCCAGGACCCTCAGAGCCTCCAAATCCAGCCCTCCGTTTCCACCAAGGTGCCCAAGGTGCCTTCGACGATAGCTCCAAAGGGCTCCAACACGCTGCAGAGGCCTCAATCACATCCAAGGTGGCCCCAAGACGACCCAAGACGCCCCAGGAGGGCCCCAGGACAACCCCAAAGAGGGCTTCAAGATGCAAATAACTTCGATGTTCCAAGTAGTTTGGGATGTTTTGCGCCGTCTCGCCTTCTCGTGCGTCTGCAGGCCCAGGACGGCCCGAGAAGCCCCAAAGACGGCAACAAAAAGCCCCTCTCGGGTCCCAAGAGAGCCCGAGAGAGGCCAACGAACGGGAACTGGCAGGGGTCCCGGGAGCCCTCTCCTAGAAGGCACTCCCGACATGCCCCCAGAAAACCCCAAGAGAGCTCCAAAAAGCCCCCAGGAGCCCTGAGAAGGCTTCACGAGGCTGCCACGGAAGCCAACGATTGGGCCTCCAGTGGTTAAACAATTCGAATCAGGTTGTCGGACCTTCGCGAACACATGATTTGATCAACGGCCAGACCAATCATCGAACAGAAGAGAGAAGGACCTTGATCGGAAAAGGCCTGCAGGCGGCAGCATCGAACGTGACAGAATTCGCCCTGTACAGCTCAAGCCAATCGCACCCACATGGAAACATGATGGCGCAGATGTTATGAGATCGAGCTCCCTCTAGTTCATGTATACAGAATTTGCTGCTATCGTGATTACTCTTCAAACTGCCGCCCCCATGCCACTACTACCCTGCCTTCTGGTTCTCGCTACCCGACGCGCAAGAAGCGTGCAAGGGAGACACCACGGAGATCTGGGTACCCAGAGGCTTGGCACGCCTTGCCAGCATCACTGACTCACACTGGGAATGGGGGAATTGTGGATACGTCAATTCCAAATTGCGAAGCCGCGCGCCCTCTGAATCATGCGAAGGATATGCAAGGTCTGCGTGGTCTCAGCGGGGACGTTGGACAGCGCCAGGTGGAAGACGCCCTCCACGAACTCTTCCTCACGGCGAAGCCCGGCCCATGTGAGAAACGTACAGGCCACTCCAGAACAGCCTCCTGGGGCGGAAGTGCTGTCGAATTCTGGACGCAGCATTGGCGGACACAGAACCAATGGTGGCTTCGGCGCGTCCCCCGCACAGTTTCTCCCATCCCTTCTTCGAACAGGAAGACTATCAAATCATAAGTGCATCAGCGAAAACGCAATAATTAGGGTTAGAGTTCAAGATCAGCAAACACCATATCATGTGTTGCGCCCAGCTCCGACATGCTGAAAGCAGGGGCGCTGGCATAAACAACCCGACCTCTGCTACAAACGTCTCTCGGGCCAACGAGGGTGAAACACTAGTGAGTTGAAGTCATGCGTTGTGGGCAACAGTGGGCGCAACCAAGATGAATCGTTTCGGCGACAGAGTTTTCGACCTATGGTGCAAACCAGTAGCAGCCCATGCTACTGTCGGCAGTCAAAGCGCAACCTATGGCGCAACAAATAAGAACCCATAGTCCCTTTTAACGACCGAAGCCAAATCACACTGCGCATCCAAAAGGCGCCAGCCGAACCTGGCGCGAAAAATATGCGCAACCTATGAGGCAACTGAGGCGCAACATGTGGCGCACTAGATGGTAACCTACGTTGCAACCCATGGCGCAAACGAGGAACATACAGCTCAACCGATAACGCAACCTATAGCGCGAATGGCGCAACATATGGGGAAACACATGTGGCGCAACCAACATATGGCGAAACCAGTGGGGCAACGACTGGTACATGCTATCGCGCGACAGATGGTGCAACCCGTGGCAGGACCTTTCTGGTGCATCCCACGGCGTAACCTATGGTGAAGACTATGAAGATCGGGAGGGATGGAAGACAGGGGAGGAGGGAGGGAAGGACTCACGGCGCGACCTCTGGCGCAACATCTGGCCAATCCCACGGAGCAGCCGAAACCTGTGGCGTTTCCAATGGCGCAGCCTGTTGGGCAACTTTTGTCGCGACGTATGGCGCAACCTCTGGCGCAGCCAATGGCGCAATCCATGGTGCAACTTCTGGAACAACCGATTGCGCAATATACGATGCAACCAATGGTGCATCCTCTGGCACAACCTATGGCGCGACCTATGAAACTTTGGGAGGAGGCGGAGACGGGGGAGGGAGGACGTGGGAGGTACGAGGAAGGGGAGAGAACCGAGGGGGAGGAAGAGAACGTCTGCGACGGAAAAGACGCCGGAGCCGAGGACGAACAGTCGGACGGGCCCCGCAGCAAGGGCCGCGCCTGATGTACGCGTGCCCGTCGTCCGGGCCAGGCGAACTGTGAGGCCCCGCCCGACGGGCTATGCCGTGATTTCCTGAGGGCGGCGCGGGCCACTCATGCCTTGGCTCGGCAACCATATGTGAACCTACCCCCCGCGAGTCAGAGGTTGAAAGCTGTGCGCGGCCATCTGAACCCAGCGGGGGTGCCCAACCCCCCCGCATCGAAGGAACCCGCATGGGGTAACTAGAGCTCGCAAGTGGTCGCAGACTACTCTCAGAAGCGCCGGCTTCGCATGGCCGTCCTGGGCCAGGTCGGCTACGCGCAGGAGTGGCCCAAGGCAAACGAGGCCCCTCGTGCGCGGCCTGCCGATCGCCCCATGCGACGCGCAGAAAAAAAGCGCACCAAAGGCCACTCCGACCAAGGGCCACTGCTACGCGTGGCCGATCGGGTCCAGCCTGCAAAGCGCGTCCCGGGACGGTGAGCAGTCACCCTAGTGAAGGACCCAGCCATATGCACTTGCGAGGATCGCGGTGCAGGCGAGACAGGGGATGGGGCCCGCAAAAGATAGCAAAAGGTCTGGACGGGAGGAAGAGCGGGCACGGGCGAGCGGGGAGTCTTCTCGGTTTCGCGCGAGCCCCGGGCGCCGCCGTCTCGTGCCCGCTTCCTTGCCAGGTTTTCCCCCCCTCCGCTGACTTCCGTGGTGCGCTGCGCTCCCGCCTGGCCCGCGATGGCCCGAGCCCCAGGCGCCGCCGTTTTGTATCCACTTCCTTCCTTCGTCTTGCTCCTCTCTTTGTCCTTCCGCCTTGGAGCGGCCCTGAGCAGAGCGCCGCGCTGATCCCCCCGCGACGCGCGCTGGCCGCCCAGAAGGAGTCCCGACGATGGGCGCGGGTCGTCCGCGGCACGGAGCAGCACAAAACGTGGCGGCTGAAAACGGGCGAGGCGCTGGGCAGAGCGCGTGGGAGTCGGGCAGCTCCTGGAGGCAACGCGCAGGGGAGTCCCCGCGACGCGCGCGCGCTGGTCCCCCCGAGAGGATTCCAGCGACGCGCGCCGGTCGTCCGCGGTGCGGGACCGACCAATTAGACAGTCGACTGAAGACGAGGCTCAGGCGGGCGACGATGCAGCCACGAAGTGTGTGAGGGATGTCAAAATGGCCAGGGAGCCGCATGCGAACCCTGCCAATGGGGCCTTCGGTGGAGCTCCCTCTGGAGCCACGAGGCATGTGAGCTTTGTGCCGACATGGACATGCGATGGGCAAGGAGCCGCATTCTAGCCCTGCCATCGGGGCTTTCGGTGGAGCTCCCTATGGGTCACGAGGCGTGTGAGGTTTGTGCCGACATGGGCATGCGGTGGGCGTAGAGCCGCATGCGAACCCTGCCGCTGTGGTGTGCCGAGATGGACATGTGCTGGGCGGGGAGCCGCATGCGAACCCTGCCACTGAGGCCTTCCGTGGAGCCCCCTCTTGAGCCACGAAGCGTGTGCGGGGTGGGCCGAAGTGGACATGCAGTGGGCGGGGAGCCGCATGTGAACCCTGCTACTGAGGCCTTCGGTGGAGCTTCCTATGGGGCCACGAAACGTGTGAGGGGTGTGCCGGCATGGGCATGCGGTGGGCGGGGAGCTGCATGCGAACCCTGCCACTGGGTTCCTGGGTGCAGCTCCCTGTGAGGCCACGAAACGCTTGAGGGTTGTGTCGAAATGGACGCGCGGTGGGCGGGGAGACGCACGGACCTGCCACTGGGGCCTTCGGTGGAATTCCCCATGAGGCCACGAAGGAGGGTGTGCCGTAATGGACACGCGGAGGTCAGAGGCAAGGACGGGAGGAGGAGAGGGGAAGGAGTGAGGTAGGGTGACGCGGGGCGCTGTCTCTCCAAAACGAGGACCCAACACCACATGATGGCCAGGGCAAACCAACACGCAACGAAGCGTGGCTAAGGGGGGGGGGGGCCGTAGCTCTGGTGGGCCAGCGGCTCGGGTCTCGGAAGCAGGTCGTTCCTGGCAACATGCTCTTGCAGCCCAACTGTGTATCCTCTTCCTCGCCGGCCCCAAATGCGCATCCTCCTCGTCGGCTTTGAAGGAGGACAAACGGGGCCTCGGAACAAGCGTGTTGACGCGCTCTTGTGCCCTGACGGCGGGTCCCCTGGTTGACTAACTATAAAGCCAAGAAAGAGGCGAGCACTCCAATAAATAGGCTCCCACATGGCCGATGCCCGCTGCCCTCCACCCACCCTCCGTGAGGGCCTGCTCGACCTTGCCGCTACGGTCCATGTCGAAGAAGTCAAAGAGGTCCATCAACTGGTCGGCCTTCACGATGTGCGACAAGTCGCTCGGGATCCTCGGGGGAGGCGGGAGGAATCGAAGGGGAATGGGGTCGTGAGGAGAGAGGAGCGTGACACGGAGGAGTAGGACGAGGACAACCAGGATGAGGATGAGGAAGCCCAGGACCAGAGGACGAGGGGACTGGGGCAGAAGAGGAGGACGAGGACCAATAGATCCTCTGCCATCTTTGAGTAGCCCGCCTCGGGTATGTCTCCCCGCCTCCGGCCTCAGCAAGCAAATTCATTTACGCAAGGGATTAAGGGCCAGCTGCCTGGAAACTGCACTGTCCACCCGCAGCACTTTGGTGCGAAACCTGGGAGGCACGATGCCTCCTGCGGTCGCCGACGTGAGCGCTCGCAAGAACAATTTCGCAATGGTTCGATCCAATCGCACTTTTCACCGTGCGGTTGCGGGCCGAGTGGCATGTAGGATCCAGGGTGGGGGGTTATAGATGTCCGCCGCCCCCTGGGAAGGTAGGGATTACAGGCACGTGCACACACATACATACATATAGATATCTAGGTATACATGTGTACACACTTACTCATACATACATACATACATACATACATACAGACAGACATACATACATACATGCATGTATGCATGCATACATACTTACATGCATACATGCGGACATTACACATATACACACATACATACATGTATACACACCTACATGCATGCATACATACATACATACATGCGTGCATACGTACATACACACATACATATACACATACATACATATATACATACATACATACATACATACATCCATACATACATACATACATACATACGTACGTACGTACGTACGTGCGTACGTACATCCATACATACATATATGTACATACCTACATACCTGTCAACATACATGCACACATACCTACATACGAAACTACGTAGGTACAGACACATATACATGCATACCTGCATACTCACATCCACACGTACATACATGCATACACATACACAAACATACCTACATGCATACATACGCACCTACATACATCCACCAACACCATCATACACACATACATATAAACGTACATACATACATGCATGCATGAATGTATAAACACATACATACATACATGCATGCATACCTGCACACATAGCCATACCTATATACACCCATCCATACATGTATACATACCACATGCATACATGCATACGCACGCATACACACATACCTACATACCTACATAGGCAGACAGACAGACAGACAGACAGACACATATACATGATGACCATCAGGGACCCCACACAGCGTGCCTCAAGCAATACACGTTGTTACTACACATGTAGTGCGACAAATGTGGGGTTGCCTAGGTGGTGCATGAGTGTGGTGCAATGTATGTGGTGCATTAGGTGCTTCACGTTGAATGTGGTACAGCAGATGTACGGCTATACACATTGTGCAACCCATGTGGTGCAACCGATGCGGTTCAAGTATATGCCGTGCAAGCTACGTGGCACAGTCTAAGTATTGCAACCTATGTGGTGCAATAATTGTTGTGCAATATACGTGATGCAATCGATACTGTTATATCTATGTATATACAAGGCTGCATTGGCGCTTCGCGCCATGCACCTTGGTCCTTCACCTCTAACTTGCAGGCGAGATGGAGCAGAGAGGGGTAGACCAATCGAAATAACGAACGCTCTTAGGATTGTTGTTCCTTCTCCTTCCCTCAAGTGCTCATTTTCTTTTCCTCTTCCGCTTCCCCGTTATCGCCTCCATTGTCCCGCGAACCCTTTACCGTCCTCCTCAGATTTGTTTGCGGAGGCTCCTCCGAGGCGAGCTTCTAGAGGATGCCCAGAAGGCCGAATAACCGAATAGCCCAAAAGCATGAATTACTCCAACGGTAGGACCCCACATGAGAATCTGTTTAGCTTGCCTGGGGATCTCCTCCTACCCCCTCCCTTCTCCCACCGACTCCTGCCTCATCCTTCTCCTCCTGCCTGATCCTGCCTGCTCCTCCTCCTGCCTCAACCCCTGCCTCCTCCTCCTCCTCCTTGCCTCCTCCACCACCTCCTCCTCCTCCTCTTCCTCCTCCTCGTTATGCCTCCTCCCCCATTCCCCCTGTTCCTCCTGTCTCCTGCGTCCTCCTCCTCCTGCTTTCCCTCTCCCTCCTCCTCCTCCTCCTCATCCTCTTCCTCCTCCTCCTCTTCCTCCTCCCCTCTCCCGCCTCCTCCTCTCCCTCCCTCCTCCGCCTACTCCTCTTCGTCTCCATCTTCCTCCCCCTCCTCCTCTCCCTCCTCCTCCTGCCTCCTCCTTAGGCCTCCTGCCTCCTCCTGGGGCCTCTTGGGGTCTCCTGGAGCCTTCTGGGCCTCCCGGGACATGCTGGGGCCTCCTAAGGCACTCCTCTTCCTCCTTGTCCTCCTCGTCCTTCTCGCCCTATGCCTCCTCCTCCTCCTCTTTCTCGTCCTGCATCCTCCTTCCTCCTTCGTTCTCCTCCTCCTCCTCCTCCTCCTCCTCCTCCTCCTCCTCCTCCTCCTCCTCCTCCTCCTCGTGCGGGACACGACCCAGAGAAAGCGCACGACGTGCGTCCTAAGAGATACGCGCTGGAGGACGACCCAGAGGAAGCGCGCGCTGGAGGCCGTCCCAGAGGACGACCCGGAGGAAGCACGGGAGGTGCGGGCCCCATAGGGAGGAAGCTACCGCCTGAGACCTCCTCGCAATTCACTCACAGACGAGGCTCCCGCCTAATACTTCCCCCATATTCAAGCCCCAGGAACCCTAAAGCGACGACAGTTACAGGATTCCGATGACCAGCCTCGGATTAAAAACATGAACTGCGGGCCCCATAGGGAGGGGGCTCCCGCCTGAGACCTCCTCGAAATTCAAGCACAGACAAGGTTCTCGCCTGATACTTCCTCCATATTCAGGACTCAGGAGCCCAAAAGTGACGACAGTTACACGGATGAGGACGACACGCTCGGATTATCAACATGAAGTCTGGGCCCCATAGGGAGGGGGCTCCCGCCTGAGACTTCCTCAACAACATGATCTGCGGGCCCCATAAGGAGGGGGCTCCCGCCTGAGACTTCCTCGCAGTTCACTCAGAGACGAGGCTCCCGCCTGATACTTCCCCCATGTTCAAGCCTGAGGAGCCCAAAAGGACAGTTCAACGGATGAGGATGACCCGCTCGGATTACCAACATGAAGTGCGGGTCCCATAGGTAGGGGGCTCCCGCCTGAGACTTCCTCACAGGGTGCCAAGTCTATCGAGGATCGCCCCGACGTTCGACTCGTAGCGTGAAGTCGGGCCTGTCCTCCTGCAGGGGGATTTTGGACGAAAAATCTAAAAAGTAGCAAACAAATGCCCAAATGGTCAAACCTACATGCTTGAAAATCGTCCCCAGACTATTTCTTGACTATTTTTGAATATTCCTCCTGTAGAGGGACAGGCCCGACTTAATCGTAGCGCTTCTGTGCTGCTTCGATGTTCCTCATCTTCATACTCCCCCCCACCAGCCCCCTCCTCTTCCTTCCTGTTGGGGGGGGCTGATGGCAAGGCGATACAAGAGCGCCCAACCCCCCACAGACGCCTGAAGGACGCCGGGTCCATGTTCATCAGGTCCTCTCTGAGAATCGCGTTGTCCTGAGGGGGCGGATGAGAAGTGGCGAGGGGAGGGGGTATGAAAAGGGAGGCATGGGGGGGCAAGGGGTGGACAAGCCAGGTTTGCTCGCGCCATATCTGACGTCCTACCCCTACCTCCTATCCCACATCTTTTTCCAAAACGAAAAAGATGTGGGAGGACGAGCGAAGACGGAAAAAGTAGGAAGTTGGTCTGGGGGTGACGAGGAAGAGGAGGGAGCAAGAAGAAGGGGCACGAGGCAGAGGATGGGCAACGGAATGAAGGCAAATAGGATAAAAAGAAGGCGCAGAGGAGGACGACGACAGTGAGGGAGCGGGAGCGTAGGAGGAACAGAACGGAGGCACCCGCGGGGGAGTGCACAGCACTGAGTATTCAAGTAAGTCAAGCTTAAAACAACTAAAACTTGGGGAGATTAATTCCAGAGAGGGGCCTGGGGCCGTCTCAAAAGGAACCAAGACTTATCCCTTGGATTGGGCCGCTCTGGCATGTTCCTTTCATAGAACCCGCCTTTAGAACCGCAGACATTCATTGCTCGTGGGGGGGGCGTGGTTCGCACAACGGTCGGAGCGTCCTGGCTCGGAAGGGCGGCGGGGAAGCCAAGCCTAGCAAGCGGAACCGCGCGATCGATAACGGCCCGAATCCGTGGATTCTGAAGCCAAGACGAGAAAAATATTGGGTGAATATACATTGAGAATCTCTGAAATCCGGCGGCTCCGGAAGATGCATCGGGCGCCGCGGCCTTCTCAAAGCGATCCGGAACCTTCCGAGAACGTTCAGGAGCGCTCTTGAAGGGATTTCCCGTCCGAAAGAAGGCCCATGGCGAGCGCAAGGCAACGCGGCCCTTCGAGACCTAAGCTGACCAGCAGCAGACCGCGCCCTGAACCCTGCGCGACCCCAATCAGGAGCATTACGATGCTGGGATCATGAACGCACAATGCAACACAATGGGGTGCAACGCGCTGAGGGGCAACGGAATTAGATCACAATGCGCTGCAGTAGTGCAAAGCATGGCATCAATACTGGTGATGCATGAATGCGACCACCTTTGCGACGAGAACGTCGTTCCCTGGGACGGAAGATGGACAGAAACTCAAACATGTGGCAAACACTGCAGCAGCGGTAACACCATTTTCTCTGATGCGAAGGTACGACTAGCGCTACGGCAAGATGGCCCTCCCGTTGAACGGAGAAATCGAAATTGAGAAGCCATGTGTCAGTTGGCGCGTGGGCAAAACACAAATTTATGTCGAGCGTAGCGATGAATGTTTGCCAATGAGGGAGAGGGGGAGGACGATGACGATCGAGAGAGTAGAGGGGGACAGCGCCGAGCCAAGAAACACTAGATTCTGGTCGACGGAAAATCTCAATATCGTGAAAAGTGGCAAACGCTCCAGCGGGAACCTCACATACGAGAAACCGAAAGCGTTCTGACCAGAAAAAAAATGAAAACCATCTCGCGACAATCCGGGGATTACAAACAATATTAGATGTGGGAGGCGCAGATACAGACAGCACCAGGGGAGACAAAGGACTCGGACTCAGACCGTGAAGTCGCGAAAAGAGCTGACAACAAGGCGGCAATGTCACAACATGCATCGAAAGATCTTTCAGAAGGATGGGGCAATCCTTGCCCTCTCGAACAGCACCGATGATCGATCGGTAAACGCATAAGGCGTGCACGGCACGGCCCGCACGCCGACTGTCTCCCCAGGCATCCCCCCGTAAAGTCGGGGAGGGAGAAGACAGCGCTCTGCGCCCGGCAGCCCGGTGGCGGCTCGAGGCGCACGCCGAAAAGGCAGCTCGTCAGGCAAGACGGCCTGAACAAGACGCCGTGCTGGAGAATTCTGGAGGTTCCACAGGCTGCGAAGGCCCGAAGACGAGAGAGCCCAAACGGTTTCATTCCTCAAACATCGCCAAGCCAGGCGCCAGGCAACGGCGCAACGGCGCATCGACATCGGGGCGGTATAAAAAGGGCGGCAGGACTGGAGGTCGGGCGCCGGGAGCTTCTTGCCAATGCACAAAAGAAGGATGCGCGCCAAGGCTCGTCGCCGCGCTGCACTGCCGTGCGTGGGTCGGCTGCGGACGCGCGAAGGGCACCTGCATTGGCTTGCAATGGCGAGGGCGACGTAGAGACGCAAGATCGCCAAACAAAATTCGACTTCTGCTCTGGGTGAACAAGTCATGTTGCGTCGTCTTTAAATAACTGCGACTCAAGCATCACTTTCGGAATGAAACCCTATCAACACTACCCTTGGTACGGACATAAAAAATCATATCCGGTGTGTCACACCATTGTACATAATGCACGGTGCGTATGTCCATGAGTTCAAGTATCCGACTGATACGACCGAGTAGTGCGCGCTCGGTTGGAGTCAGAAGATCTTGGCTAGACAACGACTTTGTATACCGACTCAGCATCAATAGTTGATGATACTTTAATGGCCAGACCACCCACACCCCGTGCATCACGACGGGTTTTGGGTGACAGTGGACCCGCTTGTAACTGACGGGGTGTGATGAGTGCAGGATATGCCTCATCCAGGTCGCAGGATGCCGCCAGCACTTTCGCTGCGTAGCTGGGCCGCGCCTGAGGCCGATGATGGTTAAGTTGCGTAGCCCGTTTAATGCCTACGCCCAGGGCTCGGAACAAAACTGCGGTGAGGAGTTGAAGCTTGGCATGTCGAGTCCAACCGACTGTCCTCGATGCGTGCCATCTAAACCTGGCAAGGGTTTCGTCGATGCGCTCATTGTTGGGCACGTGGAAATCGATTCATTGGAGGCCTGAAGTGAGCTGGCCCTCGTCCCCGAAGTGCTCGAACGTCATGTTCAAAACGAACATGATGTAAGTTACGGGATCGGCGTGAGTGCCTCTTGCATTCACGCCGAAGTTGATGTCAGGAGGGGTACGCATGGCAATCTTGCGCGCAAAAGAACCCAGTCCTCGCTGGAGTGCTGCAGCTTGGTGCTGCGGGGTCATGCGAGCACATGTGAGAACCAACCACACGTTGGCCTCAGAGACACATTCGCGAAACGATGCGTCCCCTGTTGGATTCCAGTATGGTGGTGTGGTGTTTTCGTTGCCTCCACGACGGCGCATGCATCCGACAGCGGGCCCAATGCACCGCCATACGATGACACGCATGCACACGAGCCCCACAAATCTCAAGTGGGAACTGTTCTGTTCAGGCGCATGTCCGCGAATTGTCTCCTCTGTGGGTGCGGTCGGGCGTCGCGTTTGGGTGCCAACCGCGTCTCCGTGCGGCACGCTGCCATGCTTGAACCGTTGAGAAATGTCCGCTCTTTGTTCGAAAAAAGCGCTGGCCCGTGGTCGGTGTGGAGAACAGCCGGAAATATGATCAAGAAACCAGCTTTGTTCCTGAAATCTGGGCCAGCTCCCCGGACGTGTCACAAACAAATCCTGGGCCAACTTCTGTGTTTGACGCTGGGGGGGGAACGTGCTCAAGAAACTGGGCCAACTTTCAGGCAAGCTGCACCAATTTTTCGGGAAAGGGCTTCTTAATCAAATGCTCGACAACATTCCGCAATTGTGAAAGTATGTTGAACCTCTCGTGTTGGCTTTCGTTGTTCGAACTTGTTCTCAAGCTACTCTCGAATTTATCCACGGAATCGAGGGTGAAGTGTGGACTCAGAGTGGAGGATGACAGCGGCCACGTGGAGCGTGCCAGATAATAATACAATGAGACCAAATATGGGAGCCAGCCGCACGAGAGTGTGACCAGTTCTGCTAGCAAGTCGAAACACAAGTGGCGACGTCAAAAAACATCGCAGGCAATATCACGTAATGGTACTCCAGATTTCGTAATAAAGGGAGGGGGGTCTCACTTCGGGGGGGGTCTCTTCCAGGCTATCTTGGAGGGCCTGGGGGGTCTGGGGACGATGTTTTGGAGGGTTCTCCCACGGGGGAGGTCTGAAATGGCTCGTCTTGGAGGGTCCAGACCCCCTCCCTTTTATTACGAAATCTGGAGTAATGGAAGGGGTGCAAGAGGGTGAGCTTCAGGATGGGGCAATACTTCTCCTTTCAAGCAGCACCGACGATCGATCGGTCGGTGAACGAAGAGGGCGTGCACGGGGCCGAGGAGCGCGCTGCACGTCCCCCCCATGCAGGCATCTCCTTTTGTTGAAGTCAAGGCAGCAGGAGGCTTGAGGATGGGGCAGGAGAAGGGGAGCGGCCGAACCTAATGAGAGGAGGAGGAGGAGCGAAGCGTACGACGACGACGACGACGTCCCCGCCTAGGGCGCTCCTGCGCCAACAGCACGATCTGGCCGCACCAGTCTTAGATCCCGTAGTGCCGCCCTCGCGGCCGAGGGGAGTCTGGGCAGGACCTGATCGGCGGGCAGTGTGCGAAGTGAATGGTATATGTGTACATCTATATAAAGTGCTTCTAGTGTGTGGACGGTGCAGTGCGTGACTCCCCAGCGTTGTAAAGGATCAGAGGCGAGAGCGCGATTCCCCAGCACGGGCGACGTGGCCGCGGCGAGGCGAGAACAAACAGAATAGTGGCACTGTCTGTCGAGGCTCCCTAAACATCCAAAAATGCAAAGTCCTGGCCCACGAGCCGATAGGATACGATGAGACGTCATCCAGCCTCCAGCCAGCGTGCGAATCCATGCCCACGCCCACGAGGGCGGGACCGAAGAGAGAAGGGTGCGGGTCGGCTCAAAGTCAACCTCATCAACCTCCTCAGCACGGTCAGGCCACCACTTTTTCAGGCGCTCACGGAACATATTGACAAGCACAGCTCTCGGGAACATGTCACAGCACGCTTGATACGCAGCTCTCTGAACCTTCTGTCTGGGACGGGAATCTCGGGCAGCTTTGGCAGCGTGAGAGGCAGCGGCAGCAAGATGATTTCCAGAGCCTCTAGCCGCCTCCTCCCAGAATTCAGCGAACGCCTTGCATTTCCAGTGCCTAGGGTATTTCAGATGCTCGGGGACGACGGTCAATCGGCAGTTATCTTTCGCCTCACCCTCAGACGTGCAT